TCTTTCAATCCAAATTTTGAATATCCCACTTTAAAAGTCTCGAAAGAACGAGACGATCCGTAATCATTCAGGCTTATATCATCTATGGACGGGCTAACTATCGGAAGCTGACTTATAAGTCCATATTGTGGAATGCCTACAATATAAATAATTAATTCACCTAAACATTAACAGAATCCCAGAATTATGCAAATGGTTTCCTCATGACATACCTTTCGACCCACTCAGATGCAAATCTTAATTAAGAAATGAAGAAATTGTGTGAGTAATGATAATTATGTTGATAGATCATACATCCCTTCTCATAATCCTATCGCCATTGACTACTTACGGCTTATTCCGGTAATATTGCCACGAGAACTATACCTGTCATGCAGAAACTTATTATTTATAATCTTTCGATATAAACTTAATTTGCAAATGTCGACTAAATGCGCTCACCCTGAATTGTTATCTTCACTATTATCAATATCAAACCCAACCTTTACCACACCAAAAGGAAGGCACGGACCCGGGAAAACATTACCACCTATTCAAAATAAAGCAAAAGAATTTTTTTATCTACCATCTTAATCTAATAAACTTATTTCCATACATGCAAGAAATATTTCAGATTACCATCCTCAGTCCCAATCAACGGGTCCACAAACTTTGTAAGCCATTCATTCCTATCTTTGATTCTTGGCTTAACTTTTTCGCCCTCCTCATCAAAGTGCTGATCATGTGAAAATGCAATTTCTGGATCTACATATTCATCATAGTACAATAAATCTCGAAGATCGCCATATTCTATTGCCAAGTAAACTAGTGAAAATGATAATATTGCTAGTACGCAAAAGATCGTAAAGAATTTATGGGAGACTTTAAGCTTTGCTAATGCTTTTAGCATTTTTGCTTTTTTCCTTGTTTCAAAAATCCGCTAGACAAAAATGTCACCAGGCCGTGACTTCTCAGGGGTACATACGATCTCGATAATCTCGCGTGTATATGTGCGATTCAAGTATATGCGCTAAAAACCGCAAGTATTATATTATAGGCTAGTATTTTGGGTTTTTCTCGAATTTCACCAAAAAGGAAATATTCTGCAAATGTGATGATTGTAATTATTAGAGTACAATATAGTGTTCTCATTGTATATTACACTTAAATTAGCATGATAAACGTGACGGGAAAATCAAAAAAATAAAAGAATAAAGAGGCTTGAAAGATTCTGGCAAAATCAAAAATATTACAAGAAGTTCTTATATAAGCTTCTATCTTGATTAAAAGTGAGATGTCAAGAAAATGTTTAAAATATTATTGATAAATTTATAAATCTCTAATATCACAAAATTTGAATAATATCTACTGTAAGTATTTTTTAATTTACAAATATAATTTTTTTTTAAAAAATAAATTTTATCGTCAAATGTCAAAAAATAATCAGAAATAAAATAATTTACTTGAATAATGAATTTTATATATGTCAAAATGTTATTTTAAAAATTTTTTCAAAAAATTTAATTAAATTCTATTAAATAAGGTTACAAAAAAAGTAATTAATAATAGATTATAATTTAATATCAGATAATTATTCTTTAAAAAGTAAAAGAATTCTTTCAATAAGAATGCTTAAATTTTATAATAATTCAAACAATTGTTATTATATAAATATTTTTTAGGATTTTTTATTATTTTTAATAATAAAATTTTTTTTAAAAAAACTTATTAAACAATATAAGTTAGAAAATTATTTTTATTGGATTTGATTAAACTTTTATTATTATAAGTAATATAATAAATAATATTATATTATTATCAAATTGCTTATTAAAATAGTATTTATAAAAATCAAGTTAGTATCAAAATTTTAACAAAAAAATTATTAAACTTAATAATAAAAGTTTATAAAAATTTAATAAAAATTCATCACAGATGGAATTTATTATAAGAAACAAGTTTACTTAATACATAAAAATTATTTTATTAGTAAAATAAAAAGTTTAATATATGATCACTATTTTTAATTAATTATAATAATTTTTAAGCAATTTTTTATTTATTGAAAAGAAATTGTATATTTTAAATAAAATTTAATAAAAATTAATTAATTATTATTATATATAGTTTGATTCAAAAAAAATCAGAATTGGGTTTTATTTATAATTTGATAAATAATAATTTAAATTAAATAAGTCTTTTAATATATAGTATATTGTAACAAAAAATAGTAATTATATTTTTTTATTTATAATTTAATAAAAATTATTAAAAAAATTAATAATAAATTTAAATATAATTAATTAATACCTATAAAATAATTTTATTTGCAATAATTTTATTAATTCTTTTATTATTTGATTTGATATTTTAATTTTACCAAAAATTTTATATTGTAATTTTTAATTTTTATATAATTTTTTTTTTTTTTTTTTAAAGTAGGTAAACATCATTTCTTTATTTTATTTGTATATAACAAGATATACATCATGAAAGAAACAACATCTCTCATATGTTGATACAATGAATTAAATGCTAGCTTGCCTACAGTAACCATATGACTAATATTGAAAAGAAAGTTTAAAACAATATATCTTGCCATATGGCATCAAGCAGCTATGAATACCTACTCAGTATTAGGAGAGATGGTATTTGGAAGAGATGAGATTAATTTTTGAATATATTTGTTATAGTTATAATTATATTGAATAAAAGAGTTAGTGACAATTGTCAGTAGGTCTATGATAGTTTTGTTTTGGATATCATTGAAGTGTGAGTTTTTACTAGAAGCAGTGTGGTTTCTTTTTGATTTGGCTAAGTTGATGGTGTTCAGTAATTCATTTGGTTTTCATTTGATACTTGTAATTAGCAAGGTGTTGGCAGTGTTACATTGTGGTTTCCAGATTGAATTATACAGTTGGATTAGGGATTCAGTTGACGCCTTGACCCAGTTGGTGGTATCTGTTATAGAGAATATTCTATTGGTAATGCCACATGACAGTTCCACAACTTGCCATATGTGAGAGATTGGTCTGGAATTTTTGTTTGGATGAAGAATTTGATTGATGTTATTTATGATTTGACTGGCCTCTTCTGAGGCTTCAGGACATTTAAAGACATGCTAAATGTCTTCAGTACAGAGCTCGCATCTTGGGCAACACTTATTTGGGTATTGATCAGGATAATGTTGATGAAGTGTTTGACGGGTTGGGAGTGTTCCTGAGAGGAGTTTGATTCTGAACGCTATTAGGTTGCTATAGCTGTTGTTGTGTACCCTTTTGATATTTTTATTGGACTGATTAATAATTTTTAAACCGTGTAAGGTGCTTTCACAAATCATATAATTTCTAGTAATACTAAAGATTTTTTTGTACCATCGGACACTGCTGCCTAAGCATGTGTTGTTGATTAGAGGGCTTTCTGCGAAGTGTGGTAAGTAGTTGCTCCATTGGATTGTCTTGTTTGTAAATGGTTTGGACTTGGGTTTGATATATATGACTTCTATTGACTTCTGTTTCAGGACTTGGTTTATTTGCTGGATTAGGGAAGAAAAGTTAATTTTAATCATTCTTCTCAGATGAATTGTTACTGGTTGAAGGATTTTTTTGTTATTTCTGATTTCAATAGTGTTGCACTGAGAGTTCCATTGAGTGATGTCAAGTATCGCTAGTAAAATATTGCTAGGAGCTAAGCGGCATTAGAGAGTTCTATCTTGCACTTGTTGATAACTAGATAGTTTTTATAAAATTGGATATGGTAATATTAGTAATGTCCAACTTCTTGAAGTGATGCTCTGAGAAATGAGTTGTTGTTGATGTTGATTGATTGGAAAGTTTGTTTGCTTCTGTGTGATGAGTTGATAGTTTCATCAATAATGTTTAATAGTTGATACTTGTTGATGCTAAATAGATTGAGAGATACCCATAAAGTTGATGCTGTTAAGCTTGTGAACGTTATCCAGCAAAAGCCATGTGATTGTATACCAGCTGGGCATCCTGGACACCTGAGAAGATTGTTAGTTAGGTCTATTGTGAAATGCTTCCCTTTGAGCATCATTTTTTTTTGCACTAATGATCGTCTCTTGTGGATCTTAACTATCGCATTTGAGCCATGTATAAATCAAAATGTTGCTTTGGGATTTGGTATTGGACCATGAGATCCTATGAGATTCTTGCTATTTGCAAAGATTTTGAACCAATTTGATTCTGAGTCAAGATGAATTATATCTGTATGTAAGGCAAGTTGGTGCCATGTAAGTTTGATGGTACTGTCAAATTTCAGTAACTGATTAGTAAATTTCAGGTTGAGTGCGTTTGTTGTATTTATTGCTGTTTTTTTGGATTGGGGTTATAGACTGGTGAATAGGAAGTCAATTGAGTTTTCTGCGTTAATTTTTATATAATTATTGTTTTAAAAAAAGTAATATATATATATTAAATAATTTTTTAATATTATTATTAATATTAATATAATCAATTTTTAATTAAAAATTTTAAATAAAATTTTTAAATAAATACTTATTTAATAATTGTAAAATTTCAATTATAAAAATTTTTTTGTTTTTGTTTTTTTTTTAATGTAAAAGGGCATTAGATGCAAGTCTTTATTAAATTGTATATATATAATACATGAGTTACATCAAACATCTTCACATAATAACTCTATGAATTAATATTAACCTATCTATAATGCTAACTAAAGCGATCCTCCTTACACTTAATATAAATTGGATTAGCGATAGTGCTGGATGGTTAATGCCCTTTCAGAATTAAAGTAAGGTCTTGAGACTTTAGTATGTTTGTTTGAACGGTTTGTTGTGAATTGGAATGTACAATGATTTTGTTCAATAAATCTGGTTGTGCTTCAGATAATTCTTTTGATTTGGTAGTTGTTAATTTTGGAGTAGATTTTTTTCACTTGATTCCTGATACTATTGAGGTATTAGCTGTTGCGAATCTGGGTAGCCATACTAGTAAGTATAAAAGTTTAAGAACAGAGTTTATTAGTTTGGTCCATGCTTTTTTTGAGAGCTGGATTCTGAGAGTTGTTATTCCATATGCTAGGCCTTCGAGATTTGACTTTCTGTTGATGGTTAGAGTTTGTAAGTGGCGAACCGAGTCTGCTGCTGTTGTTTTGACTTTGCTCGTCAGTGCGAGTTTTTTAATTTTGGCTATGATTTTGTTTTCTATTTCGCTATATGCTGCTGTGTTCTTGTAGCATTCGAATACGTATCTTTGTGTCTCGAGTGTAACCAGACATCTGGGACAAATGTTGTCTTTGTACAGTTCTGGGTATCTTTCATGTAGAATTTGTTATGTAGGAAGAGTACCATTAAGTATTTTGCATCTGAAGGCGAGTAAGGATGAGTAGTTGAATTTGTCCTTTTTAATAAGAGATTTGTTGGCTGTAAAAAGTAATTGAAGAGATTCTATGTCAAATGTTTGGTTCCATCTTTCTTTGATCGTTAAGCTATTGATGAGGTCTATCAATCTATACACTTGTTGAATTTTTTTAACCCAATGTGTTGGTTCTATACCCCATGTATTTTTAATTCTTGGGCTTGTTATGTAATTGTCGATTACTAGAATATTGTTTATTGAGACAATGTTGTCACTTTCTTGAGGTGCTAAGGTGCAGGTCTGTTTGCGTAAGGTTAGTTTGATCTCTTTTGTAGCACATAACTCTTTGATGTGACTGATCAGATAACTATAAGAGATTTTGACTCTTCGGTTAAGATAGCTTGGAGTGTCCAGATATATAGTGAATGGAATGTTGATAGTTATATAAGTTTGCTTCTTGATGGTTGCTATAAGTCCTATAATTGCTAGCAGTACGTTGATAGGTTGGTCATGATCTGAATGCAGTATTAGATTGATTTCCTTATTTTCTATGAAAACCAGGTTATCTTTT